GAGAGAGAGAGAGAGAGAGAGAGCCTTGTGTGCTAGCTCACTTCTTGTTCTCATTTGAAACCTCAATTGTTCCTTCTGTATCCTTAGTGGCATCGAATTCTCTGGGCTTCCGTAAACGGGAACCACCAAAATAAACTTTCTGTTCTCCCAGGGCTACCATCTTTATCTTATCTCTGAACCTTTGCCAGAGTTGTTTTCTGCAGTTCTCTTCATCCAGTTCTTCCAAATCCTCCAAGGCCCAATCCAACTACAGAAAAGAACCCTGTCCCTCTTGTTCCTCAAGAGGGACGTATCCCAAGCACCCACACAATGCCAGGCTCACCAGAAGTGCTCGGTAAATATTTGTTGAATTAATGAAGGACTCCTTTGCACAAAGGTTTCCTTGACTACATCAGCCTGCATTCATGTCGGAGTCTCTCAACCCCAGTGGCTCCCATTTACTCTGTGGTCTTTTAGTTTCAGAGAACTGTTTTGTTTTTATCCACTTAAGGAAGAACTAAAATCAATGAAACCAAAAGAAGGTTTCGAGTGGGATGAATCCTTGCCCTAGCTATTTTCTTTTCTTTTTAATTTTCTTTTGGGGGGAGGGGTACCAGGGATTGAACTCAGGGGCACTCGACCACTGAGCTACATCTCCAGCTCGATTTTGTATTTTATTTAGAGCCAGGGTCTCACTGAGTTGCTTAGTGCCTCACTTGTGCTGAGGCTGGCTTGGAACTTTCCATCCTCCTGCCTCAGCCTCCAGAGCCCCTGGGATTACAGGTATGCGCCACTGTGTGGGGCTGCCCTGGTCATTTTTCTTACCGAGGAGAGAATGAAACACTTCCTGTGCATCAGGCCCTGTTCCGAGTGCTCTATTAATACTCGACCCATTGAACGTAGCATTGAGAAGTAGGAGCTTTTTTATCCTCATATTATTGATGTTAAAATTAATATCCAGAGAGTTAAGTAACTTCTTCAAGATAAGAAAGCTATGACATGGTTATACCAAGATGGAACCCAGACGTTCTAACTGCAGAATATGCCATTGTCAGTACCACGCCATCTCTGGTACCACTGCAAAATACAGGAAAATATTGAGTGCCTCACCAGAGGAACCCTGTAGCTCCTAAAGCAGCCTCTATAGTCAATGAAACCCAATATCATCTCCTTCAGAATAGATGGGCTTTAGAGTCAGCTCCTGTTCATTCATAATCCCCAGTAAGATGCTCTCCCTGCTGTTTATAAAGGGATCCGCTCTGGTGTTTGACACTGTGAAACCGCGCCCTCCCTGGAGCTCCTCTTCTTCCTTTGAGGGGAATTCTCAAGGCTCTGAAGTGTCACATGACCACAGCAGGATGTGCCTTCTTTAAGGAAGCCCTACTTCCTGGCGCTTCTCTGGCATGGCATCCTAGGAAGCTCTTTACTGCAAGTCTCTGGTCAGCTGAATAAAAATGAAGTGGGCATTTGTGTTTCCCTGCTGATTGGGTTGGCTCAACCTGATGTAGGTTCAAGTTCACAAAAGCGTAGACAGGCTTGCTTCCAGCCTTGCAATGGAGCTGGAGGAAGGCAGGCTGTGTGCCCGGCTTCTTGCAAAGCATGGCCTTGGATGTGTGTCACTGGTACCCTTAAAACCAAGGCTCCAGAAGCCCCCACCCCCACCAACAAATCAGGGGATGATTTGTGCAAGATGCCCTACTTCTGATGCCAACTGGACCCCTTTCAAATGAATGTGCAGATCAGAAAGTGTTTTCTAAAGGGTGAGTGCATTCATCATGGTGAAATGTCCTATTAAACAAAATGTCTCAAACTGTCCCCCTGTCGATTATTCAGTCTTAATATTTTGATTCCATACTTGAAAGTTTTTTTTTTTTTCTCAGAAAAGCCTTGATCTTTATCATGTCAGTGCCGATTCATTAAGAAAATGCCACCCTGGTTAAATTATGTGCTCTGAGTTCTTGTGTGACAAACAGAAATTACAGTAGCATCTTAATGTTTACCAATTTACTGTTGGGGGTTCATGCAGTGCACAATAAGTTCACAACAAGGAGTGATTTGTAGTTTTCCTAAGGTGTAAACATGAATCATCCATTTGGGAATTTAGGTGGGATAAATTAGAGAATATACCTACCTAACTGGTCAGCACCCCCATCTCAACATGGTTATTCTCTGGAGGAGTAATTATAAGATAGGGATTCCCTGCAAATTAAAGGTAAAATCTCCTTCTGAGTCAGATGCATTGTTTTGGATTTTTGTACAAATGGTTGTGACGTGAAGCTTTTGGAATTTTCCCATTCTGCTTGTGGGGCAAGCATTGCTAATCAATCCACTACACTAGCAAACGCAGCCTCCATCAGAATCTTCTACAAAAAGTTAATTGGATTTCAAAAGGATTTAATGCCTGAAGATGAGAAAATTGCTCACGGTTGCTGGGCTTTGCAAGGTCTAAAATAAGCTGTCTCTTTTTTCCTTTATAATTTGAGCCTGATATTAAACACAGATTTCTCCATTCTCTCCTACACATATTTGGGTCTCTTAGAAAGAACTTGCCAAATGTTCTCCAAATACATCAGAAAAATGGGTCACTTCATTTGGTCTGCTCACCCCTGGTAAGGCACTAGAAATAGATGTTTGGGGAGGAATAGTTGAAGAAAAGGAGGAGAAAGGGCCAAATTCATAAAGGAGAAAAATAGGTACCTTGTTATGGTTTGGATATAAAGTGTCCCCACAAAACTCCTATATTGATGCAAGCATATTCAGACCTGAAATGATTAGATTATGAGAATTGGGACCTTATCAATCCATCCTAACTTAGGAGGATTACAGTATTGTGATGGGTGGTCATTCTGTGCTGGTGGGGATTAACTGGAGAAAGTAGGTCACTGGGAACATGCCCTGGAAGGATTCATCTTCCATGTGGCCCCTTCACTTTTCTGTCTCTGCTTCTTGGCCACTATGTCTCTGCTTCTGTCTCTGCTTCTTGGCCACCATGAGGTAAGCAGTACTCATCACCGGGGCCTTTTACTACGATGATCTGACTCATCTTAAGCCAGAGTGGCGGAGTCAGCCAACCATTGACTGAACCTCTGAAACCATAAGCCCAGAATAAACTTTCCCTTCTCTAGGTTGTTTCTGTCAGGTATTTTGATCTCAGTGACCAAAAAACTGACTAACACACACAGTAGACAAAATTTTATAAACAAATAATATGCCAATTAATCATCCAACTTATGGTACTGTAAGATAATCTACTTCTTGGCCTTGTTTGCGTATTTTGCCACACTCAAAATTAACTTTGGTTAGGAGAGAAAATTTACTAATCTATAGAAGACACTTAGATTTTATGGATTTGGATTTGTTTTCAGTTTTTAATAGTTAATACTTTTTTGGATTCCTCTCCTATAACAATCTGATGCCTCTCCTATAAACCTATTTGGATTCCTGTATTATAACAATCTGATGCCCCTACCATAAGCCCATTTGGATGTTAGTTTTCCTGCTGGAGAATAAACTCCATAAAGATGGGAGGAGTGGGTCCTTATTTTTAAAATTCTTAATTTGCATCTAAGAAGTTATCAATGTGCCTTGGGTATGGTAAGTTTGAATGAAGAAATGAATAAACAACATTTAGCATGAATGGGTTTCATCTCAGAGCCTTATCTACCAGGAACTAATCATAGACCTGTTCCAATGACAAGTTCTCTTGAATGCAAGTTTTCTGAAATTGGAGATGACTGCATTCATCCTTCTTCTACTTTATCCTGAGAACTATGCTTGCTTCATGGCCATGAAACCTGTGTAACTGTATAAGAGCCCACACATAGAGGAGCCTCACACTTAATCTAATGCTTGGCCATTGCCTTCTTAAAAGTTCTAATAATTTTTGATCAAGGGGTCTACCATTTTCATTTTGCACCAAGTCTCACAAATAAGGTAGCTAGTTCTGCCCGAGAGCCCAAAATACTGTGCTAGAATGGCAGCTATGGATTAGCCTCCCTCCAATCTGGCTTTTCTCAAGTAATGGCAGGTTATGCATATGTGCTTCCCCTTGCTTAATAAAAGCCTCAACTGCATTCATTTCATTAGAAGCATCCCTTGTCATTTGGGTTCTAGATGAATAATTCTAGATTCCTACCATGCAGAGATTATGATTTGGCTTCAGAGAGTCAAAGACCAACAGGGAGGGCACCCAGAGAGGGGCTAACATGTGCAAATGATTTCCAGGCTTATCCTTCTAACTGGGGATGAGGGAAAGGAGAAGGGAGCTGAGCAAACCTGAAAGATCCCCCAAGAGATCCCTCAGGGACCCATGTTGCTGTGCACCTTTCTCAGCTTTCTCTTCCAGGGCTCAAGTGTCCTAGGACAGTTTTTCTCCAACTTTAGTGCATGCAGGAAACACCTAGTCATCTCCTTAAGATGCATATTCTGAGGCATTGGGTTGGAGCCTGTGATTCTGCATTTCAAATAGGCTCCCAGGCAAGGTCAATGCTGCTGTTGCATGGATTACACTCGCATAGCACGCTGACAGGATGCCAGTTTTCTGGTTTGGGGGCAGATCCTGAATTCCTGTTTCATCCTGGCTTATGGTAGAGTTACTGCCTTTCCTAAAAGCAGTCTGGCTTTCCCTCCCTTTTTCTGCATTTATTCTGACATGTGCCTGCACAAATGCACGTGTACATGCTATGACTTAGCATGGTCAGAGCTTCAAATAAAAGTCTGACTCCAACTTCCTTAAACAACGATGAGATTTACTATTTTACACAACTGAAATAACAGAGGGAGTGTAAAAAACAGGCCCCAGGTGCAATGTCATCAACGATCAGGGTTTTCACCTCTCTTCTCTGCCATCCCGAGTAGTACAAAATGGCTGTGATTGTTACAGGCATTGCCTTTAGATAAGACAATGTCCAGAGGCACAAAGGAGCAGTCTCTCTGGTGTCTCTCATTTTAGAGCCTGGATACTTGTCTTCATAGCCCATCAGTTCCCAGAAGCCCCAGACATCTCACATCATGGGTCTGTTCCTAACTCCATCAAATATTTCACCAGGGAACAGAGTGGCTATGACACTCTTAGCTTGACGAAGATAATCAGGAAACACTTCCCGGAGCCAGAGAGGAAAGAGTTGGCATCCCTTAAAACACATGGATATGTAGAGGAGTAGATATCTAAAAAAAAAAAAAAAAAAAAAAAAAAAATTCGGGTTATCTTGGAAAGAGGGAATGCTGAACTATGGGGTAAGGGAAAATGGGTACTGAGTTGGCAACCAAATACGTGTCTGCTCACACATTCTCCCACCTGTGTTAGTGAGCTTTCCATGGCTGTGACAAAATGCCTGGGAAAGATAAAGGAGAAAGGATTCATTTTGGCTCCTAGTTTTTCAGGGTTTTTAGTCCATGGTGGGTTGGCTCTATTGGGCCTATAGTTAGGAAGCATCATGGCAGAGGTGACAGAACAAAGCTGTTCACTTCATGATGGTGGCCAAGAAGCAGACAGAGAGAAGGGGGGGTCTAGGAACAAGACAGAGCCTTCAAGGTCAGGTCACCAAGGACACTCCAACTAGGCCTAACCTCCAAAGTTTCTGTCACCTCCCAATAGTCCATTGATTTATTAATCCATCCCTGGATTAATCCATTGGTGAGTTCCGAGCCCTCATGATCCAATTGCCTTTCAAAGACCCCCACCTCTGAACACTGCTCCCTCGGGGACAGAGCCCCTAATACATAAGCTACGGGAGGACGTTTTAGATCTAAACCATAACACGAACAAAAAGCCTTTATTTGAAAGAGGGCAACTGACCATCTCTTTGCAATCTTCCCAGGAAGTCCCATAGTATTCCATGGTGTATAGCTGCCCCAGACCTTCCACTGGAGTTGTCCTCCCCTGAAGCTGACCTGGAAAACGCTTAATTTGACTTTGAAAAAAAAAATAACCTTTATGGCTCCTCTTGGCTAGGCAGCTGGTCATGGATGCTTCATGACGATGCAGGACAAGGAGGAGGATGTGACTGTGAAGTAAGCACCTGGTTGGGTGTGGCTGTCAGTTTTACTTGATTGAAATAGTAAACATTTTCTCAGGTCCACCTTCCTCGGAACTCACTCCATCCTTGTGATTCATGTTCAAATCAAGAGTGGGAACTCTGAAATCCAAAACTTTCTCCATCCAGTTGTAGACATAGCACCATCTTCGCCAGCATGGGGGAGCGTGGTTCTTCTGTTTAGACACTAAAATGGATTTTACAGCCAGCCTTCTGGATAACATTCCTAGAAGACCCAGTGACCTGCCAAAAAAAAAATACTAGTTTTAAAGTATGTTCAGAGAATGTGCTCCTTGATACAAATTCCTATAGTTAGAACATGCATGGAAAGAACCTTCTGTCCTGGTTATTATGAGTGTTTTTTTAAAACAAAACAAAAAAAATAGGCAGGAAACATGGGGAACAAAGTCTCAGATTCTGAACCCCAGCTGAAGCCTCAGCTGAAACCTCAGTGATTTCTCTAACCAGTGATCTGAAACTAGTTACTTAACCTCTTCTAAATTAAGTTAAATTTATTTCTTATCTGACTCATCAAAAACAATAATTATACATATTAATGGGGTACCGTGTGATATTTCCGTATATGTATACATTGTGTAATATTTAAATCTGTTTAAGCATATGTCTTCTCAAATGCATATTATTTCCTTAAAATGAAAACATTCACAATCCTTTCTTCCAGCTTTTTGAGATATCTATATATAGAAAGAGAGAAAACATAATTGTTATATGTAGTCTCCCTACTGTGCAATGGCACACAGGAGCCTCTTACTGCTAGCCATAACTCTGACAATCCTTTGCCCCATGCCACCCTCCTCCTAACCCTCCCTCCCAAACTCTGGTGGCCACCTTTCTACTCTCAACTTCTATCTGATCAACTTTCTCTAGGATTCCACATGAATGAGATCATGTAGTACTTGTCTTTTTGTGCCTGGCTTTCTTTATTTAATGTGATGACCTCCAGTTTCATCCATGTTGTCACAAATGACAGGGTTTCATCTGCTTTTATGGCTGATTGGTATTCCATGGTGTATACTTGCCACACTTTCTTCATCCATTCATTAGTTGATGGACGCTTAGTTGTTTCCTTTTCTTGGCTCATGTGAATAGTGCTGTGATGAACATGGGGGTGTAGGTGTCTCTCTGATACACTGACTTCAATTCCTTTGAATATATTATTCAGAAGTGGGGTTGATGGCTCATATGATAGTTGTATTTCTAATTCTTCAAACTGTTTTCTACAATGACTGTTTACCAATTTGCATACCCATCAGCAGTATTGAAGCGTTTCCTGTCTCCACATCTTGACTATGCTTGTTACCTTCTGTCTTTTTTATAACAACTCTTGTGGGAGTGAGGTGATACCTCATTGTGGTTTTGATCTGCATTTCCCTGATGATGAACCTCTGTATGGTCTGGTTTCCTCATCTGTGAAATGAGGATCAGAATAGCACATATGTCTCTTGGATATTGTGAATATTAGGTATGCATATAAATCAAAAACTTATTAAATTATGTTGTAATCATGTACAAATATGCCACTATGAAACCCACTATTCTGCATGATTAATATGCACCATTAAAAATTAAATGAAAAAGAATGCTTAGAATAGAATAAGTCCTCTATAAATCTTAACACATGTATTTGTCTTGATATGCTTTCCATGAGGCAGGGCCTAAATTTATACACATTTTCTCTAATCCTCAAAATGATCCTGGAAGATTACATATATTGCAAACAACAACACCTAATGATAGCTGACATTAATTGAGCACCTACTATGTTCCAAGCAGCTTTGGTGACTAAACAGACACCATCTCATTGTAGCCTACCAGTAACTCACAGAAATAGAATTTTTCAATTTCACAGATGAGGAAACTGAAGTACAAAGAGATCAGTTAACCTGCAAATGACGTTCACTTTGTCCGTGACACTACTGAGACTGGAAGGCAGTCAGCCTAAATCTCACAGGCTGAACTTCACAACACCATTGATACTGGAGTCTATAGGCTATGATGTTGCGTGACTTGTTCACTCCACTCCTCTATGTTGCTTCCCCGAGTTGGGTATTAACTATCTACTCCATGTAAGAAAAGGCAGAGGGATTCTGGGATAAATGATCAATAAAACACAGCAGGACAGGAAGAAACAAAGAAAAAAGTTTCAAAGAGTACTAATAATAGCACGTAACTCTTCAAAAGGATTTGGAGTCTGCAAATCACTTTCATATTTAACTAAAGTAAATGAGGATGTTAATTGTCTTCGGTATGAGCTGTGCCTGCTTTACAGAAGCAGTGCCTGTGGGAGGGTACAAGGTCAGGTTCAAGTTCATAGCCAGGTGGAGATGACACACACAGTCCCAAGAGTCAGCTCCACTTCACCTTAGATGATACCATGACCATGCCGTCTTAGATCAACAATACCACCGCTTTAGGTATCAGAGCACTTTTGTGCAAATGGAACATTATAGGAAACGCAATGAATAAAAAATTCAGATGTTTTATTAGTATACATTTCTACTTTCAGTTTTATAGTAAATTGACAATAAAGTCCATAACTAGATCAGTTAAAATACAACAGCCTTAAATTGTGCTTCCAGTTTTTATCTATTTTGCTTTTGGCCGTCCATTCCTAATAAAATCTGGAGTCTGACCATAGTAATAGCTACAAATGTCAACAGCTCTGGACTTTTTAGTTCCCAGAGGTTTCTTATATATCAGTTTGAGTAGGTATAAGAGTTTCTTTTAGCCAAAAAAAAAAACAAAAGTGTGTTCTTTATTCGTTGGCATGTATCAGTGAGCATCTGCTATGTGCTAAGCACCCAGAAGCACCGCAACACTGGAGGGACATGGAGACAGGGTCCCTGCCTATGCAAAATTTTGGAAAGTGGTAACTTTAATCTGGAACCTGCACAGTAACTAGTTTGCATTGTTCATTTACATTTCTTTAAAATATAATAGACATTAGAGGAAATTTTCAAGCAAGAATATTTTTGTTAGGCAAGAATTTCAGGAGGCAAGAAGTTTTCTCTTTAAAGAGAAAAAGGATCATGTATTGGGTAGAATTTTAGAAGGAATGGAAGCACTGGGCGGCAGGAACTATGGTAGATTGAGTAGAAGGTGTACATGAGCAATAATGACTGGGACAAAGTCTACAGTGAGAGCCCGAAGCTGAAATGCTTTACCCTGGTCAGTAAGGAAGGATGGGTAGATTCCCACGCACTTGCTGGGAGTACGGAGGTGTAGGGTATTTTCTCCCAACAGCAGAATATTCTTAGGACTTGAACTTGAATTTTAGTTTGTTTGTTTATTTTTAACAAAACTGCTTTTTAGCTTTTTGAAAGAGGGTAGGGGAGAAAGAGCTGAATTGCTATAGAAAAAGATGTTAGAAGAAGTTTTAAGTATCCAGGAATTACTTAGAAGGGGACTGTGCAGTAACCTTGCCCTGCGACTTTGAAGAAGAGCAATGTTCCAAATTCAGTTTCACCTTACCTGCCTTGCAGGATGCAACCCTTCCTTTGTTATTCTCTGTTTGTTGTTGTTGTTGTGAAATTTTATCAACCACTATTCTGTGTGAGGAAAAATAAAATATCAAAATTTCAGCCTAACAGACAGTCTGAACAAGATATACCTAAGAGGAAAATTGGACTAAGCAGAGGGTCAGTGAGTGTATCCTGGGATATGTGGGCGGGGCTCAGGCATTTCTACTTCAACACTGAAGTGTTGTGTAAGGGGTCTGGGAGGAGGTGGCTCCGGGGAAGAGCCCATCGCCTGGCATGCTCCAGGCTCTGCCTTCGATCCCAGCACCATCACAAAGAAATGTTATGTAAGGCCAGAGGACTTAGGGCTGCCCATTTGGCCATAATGGCAAGAAGGCACTTTAGCCACACATATCTATTCCAGAACCTTCAGTTTACAAATTTGATAATCACAACCAAGGAGAGGTAAGGCCAATGAAGAAAGATCATGAACAGATCTCCGCACAGCAAACCTGGTCCTCCCTCCACTCTAGCCCTGCCTCTTCACAAAGGATGATTCTGTGGTCTGTGGATGTTTGGGGAAAGTATTAGTGATTTAGAGCTCTCCAGTGGGCCGACTGGCTTAGCAGCTGGGAAACTCTGAATCACATCGGATGGAATGTTTTGTTTACTTCCTCCCCACAGGGCTAAAGGGGAGAGTGGGTTTGTTCCCCTCCCCTCTTCCCCGCACCCCCCCCCACAACCAGTTTGCTGAAAGAAGTAAATAGTTTCCCAGTTCATCTGGTATCACTTCCAACCACTCCTTCTGTGGCTCATTTCAGAGAAGGGATATCATTTGAAATACTTGATTTCTTTTCAGAACCCGGCAAAGGGGAAGAAGACTGTCTCTTCTTTAACCCCTCTCTTAGTAAAGCTGTCCTTTGCTGTGATGGCACACTGTCACAGCAAAGTCCTCACTAGGGCAGCCAGGGCTACTGGGAAAGGAAGTGTGTCCAGAGATTGTCAAACCAGCTTGTCCCTTCAGTCCGCTAGCTTACTGGGCCAGAAATCCTTCTTGAAGGCAAATTAGTCAACACCCCGTGAACAAAACAATGGTGAGACTGGAGCTGCTCAGGTAGAAGGTGGAAGCCCAGAACACCTCCATCTCCTCCTTAGCTCGTAGAGTGGCCCCTGAGACATGTCTCTGTGGAAGACACTGGAAAACTACTAAAGCCATGAAGCTGATGCACACTATGATCACTATAAGCTCCAAAGTCGTCTCCCCAGGTCCTATGAGTGGCATGTCTGGATTTGAACTCACATTCTCTCTACGCAGGCTCGGTCCATTGGCCTTCTGTAGCTCATTCCTGTGTTCTCATGACTTATGCCCCACAAGGAACTCAGATCTCCTTGGAGGCAGAGCAAAAGGATGAGGTTAGACCTGCAATA